ATTGGTAATTTAATAAACAAGGATATGCATTATACGTCGTATATATTCGATTTTGCAGTAAAAGTAGATTGTAAGCGCCTAGGTGAAAGTCATCGAAAATGAAAGGGTCGAGTGAAGTGTTAAATCAAACCACGCCAGACATCTTATACACGTTTGAGTGAGTTTTGTGTGTGAATGACCGTTGCTAAATATATTATCTAAGTTTTGAAGCGTGCGCGCGTGGATACAATCGCGAAAGTAAATTGGATCGATGATTTATTTTAGTTACATCAACGAGAAGATGTATCATATTCTATTAGCCGTTTCATGGCACAGCTGGTTTTCCGTTGCAAAATCTATAATAAAAAAAAAAACAAAAGCGTCTACTTTTACCAATAGGTGATTTTTTTAAATAATTTTTTTAACATAATTTCTATAAAGGTATCGTAGACGACTTTATGTTGAAATCTTTGAAATTGCAGTAACAAAATATGCAACCTTGAACTCAACTTTAGTGGACCGTAATATTATAGGTCACGGTTTATTTATGGTTTTGCGGTTAACGCAAGCCGCAAATCGTTAGCGAAAGTTCTACTGCTTTCTAAACACGCTCTCTATTTTACCGGTAAAAAATGAACGAGACAATAGTTACTATCGTTTAACAAATGACTGCATATCACGGCAACCATACATTATTTCAGACTTCTATAAGAATTCAGAAATATCACCGCAACTATACATTTGCTGTAAGTAATATTTTATGTATGTGTTAAAAGGCCCATAAATTAGCAAAAACATAAAAATCTATATAATAATCAAATTTTTTAATTTGAAAAAAATATATATAAAGAAGTAACAAATAATCTAATCGATCAAAAGTATTCTAATTAATGTACATAATATATTTAAAGAATTTAAAGATTACATGATTGTTTTATATATAATAAAAAAAATGAAGAAAATTAGAATTGAAAATGGTGAGGAATAATGAAGAATGAAATGTAATAAAAAAAATAATTAAAGAATAAATATATGTATATATATATATAATATATATATATATAAAATATATATGTATATATATATATATATATATATATATATATAATTTTATATAAATTATTAATAAATAAGTACACACGCACCTTAGAAATTCCCAATACGTCATCCGTCACTCGTGATGGAAAAAAATGGTTGTTTGAAGCATGTAACAGCCAAACAGGTGGATGGAAATGTCATTAGCAAGTGTCAACGCGATTCAATCGCGGAATAGTGAAACCGTACACAGGATGGCGATCATGCGCAACATCCTCTATCTATCATTCTTCTACTCACGGCAGAAGAATGTGACATTCTGTTTTTGCCACTCTCACAGCGGATATAAATACGTAGATTGACATAACTTAACGGAGGCGGTTTATGTCACTTAGATGCGCTATATGCATGACGTGCAAGCTAGCTCGTAAGAGAACCGGTATCAAAGATGACAATTGTGCCCACGCATATACGGACGCAAACACGTAAAATCCTCTGAAGTAATCTAATTATAATAATAATTTCGTTTGTAAAGCTTGACTTTCATTATATGCGAAGTCGGTTCCTTACTTCGCAAATAGACGAACAATACGATTCTTAATGATGATAATATTAATATCTCTAAAGAATCTGTCGTAATTAAGTTATACGATATCCCATCACTTAAAACGTAATCCAACACCAATTTATAATGTATGTATGATGATGAAAACAACTTCTAATCAAACTTACAATCTAAGATCTCTCTGAAGTGAATATCATATTTTTATTGTACATCATTATTAATTACATTGTACATTATTATTAATCACATCATTGTTTTTGCGAAATTGATATAGAGGAGAGAAGAATATTTTCGACATATTTTTATTTTTTATCTTTAAATTTGATATTTATTTTCTAAAAGTATGGGTCATTTCCTTTTTAAAGATTTTCCGTCCAAATTATTTTATGTCTCATAGCAATAATCATTTATATGTAAACAGAGTAAATGGTTCTCATTTTTACAGTGTAGTTCCTGATAGATTTCACTACGCTATACAATGCCGTACGAAAGGCAGTATATCTGAGGCGTTGTACGTTATGACATCAATGAGTCAGTGCTAATATATAACTAGTTCATTACTGATGATAAAATATGTATTTAGGATGGGAAACATTTTGTGACGTCTTAGTACTTCTTTGAAAGGAAATAACGAATCTGCAGATTAAAAAAACTCGATGCAGATACACGATAAAATAAGACAGTAAAATTAATTCTTAGATATTTATAGCTTTTTATTCTATTTCGACCGATATTTTACGAAAAATATTTTTTTAAAAACGTAAATAATAAAGTAAAAATTTCTATGTTTAATTTTGTGTGTGTGTGTGGGGTGGGGGGGTACCACACACACACACACACACACACACACACACACACACACACACACAAAATAATAAAAAATATGTTTTTAAATGAATTTATTATATTGTAATTATTAAGAATTTCTAATTGATTTTTTTCCATAAATTCATATTTTTGTATTTGTGTCACGTAGCAGTTTGTCTTATTACATGATTAAGACATTTCACAATATCCACTCGCGTACGTTTCGGCATGCCCGAATAACACATTAGTGTAGTAAGAAACAATCTCAGCGATTTTTTGGCATTTTGATGATCGCTGAAAACGGAGTACAAACCTGTAGTTTCCACGGGCGTATGTGAGATCTTTCGTAGATAATGAAGTAGGTGTGTCAGTCGAAATGTAACAGAAGTAATGTGTAAACCGGTAGTTACAATTAGTTTCGTACCCACTTTCTTCGAAAAAGAAATTAATCACACAATTGTCTAGTTAATTTAAAACAACATATAAAAATAGAAATTAGAAAATTATAATCAATAGAAAGTTTAGAAATTCATTATAATTTGTTCTGAAAAAATAGAATTTGTTCTGTAATCTTAAATAAAAGTTAAATACAAAACAGTTAATAACAATTTCTAATAAGAATTTCTTAACAAAAAAAATTATCGGGAAGCATAAGCGTTATATAACGTTGGAAATTTGCAGTGTTTTGGTGAATTAAGCTTCAAGAGCGTAAATAAATAACAAGACCTAATTTTTCATTCAATTTCATTCAAATAAATTTTCCACCGATAGAAATTTAATTTCAATTACAAAATTAATAACATCACTACCAATCATCAGTATAAAATCATTTTTGCCAATTACATAATCTTAACGATCATTTTATCTACATCAAAGAATTCTAAATGTAGAAATGTTAAGAAGGGATATCGAGTTCAAGTTTGTCGAGCGATTAGTGGTTAAGAGAAAGTATATTAGTGTCTTCCAGAAGCACCCTGTACCCGGCCTTTCCCGGATATCCTGCATATTTTAATTATTTAGGTTTCAATGGGTCTGTCGACCGCGTTCGCGGACTTCGAGGTTGAGGCACCGCGGGAGACAATGATCCTCCGTGGAGGAAACGTGTGACGCGAGGCGAGATAGACAGCCGATACGTCCACGAATGCGAGGCATATCAAAGTGGCATCAAAAAAGTGAATACGAAACCCGGAGGAAATTGCATGATGTAATAATTGTCCTGTGGGAGTGCCCAGAGTGGAGCGAATACCACAATACTGGTGTTGCACACTATGGGAACTATTGTTACAGATTTTACAGTCTACTACTGTGCTTCTTGCTCGACCGTCGCGACTCCCACGTGGCTTTCACTTGTCTCCGCGAAACCAAACTTCTTCGTATGTTCCATTCTGTCAGGACACCGCGCTCGTTCCCTCCACGGTTTCCGCTCTTCCACGTCGCCATTATCGATGCACTTTCTTCGCGGTCTTGCAAAGCGTGCGATTTTTTTTTTTCAGCAGTCTCTCAGTCACGCAGTATCACAGATGTAAATATTTTTAAAAAACTTATTAAATCCAATGTGTTTCGTAACATTATTAATTACATCGAATTCGGTAACTCATATATTTTGATAAGAAAAAGAAGACGCGGTTGTTTTGTAGAATTAAAGAAACGGGTAAAATTTAAACGCTCGAGTAATTTAACGAGGAAAGGGTTAAAAAGGAAAGCGTTCGCTTTTCGACATCTACTTCACGCGATGGCGGCAGCCGATCATCCGGCGATTTTTTCCGTCTTCCAGTCGTTAAAGTAATCCCGTCTTGGGCAATTTCGCGCGACCAGAGAAACGTGCAATCGAGATGAGCAAACACAACCGCGGGCTCTCATTGTCGCATATTTTCCGTCGAAGTGTCGTTGCGGCGCGGCGATTCGCGTGATGTTATTCGTTTTTACTGGGAGAATTGTCATTTGGTATTCCAGCGTCTTAATGAACGTTTAGGGGTCATCAAGGTTGAACGTGGCGGCGCGACGCGGTGCGTCGTGGAAGGGGCGCGGCGGTGGTTGCCTATTGTGTCACCCTATATATAACGGCACCCGACACCCCACGCCGTATTAAGAACATTCACCGCATCCGCGGTAACATGGTTTCCAGTTTCAACAAGGTATATCGTCGAGTATTCCGAGCAGGCGCGAGTGCGCGGGTACGTGTTCATGGTGCTCGCGATCCGCACGAGGGGGAAGGAGAGGGAAAGAGATAGCGAGATCGATTTCAGTCACTATCAATCTAAATACAAGTGCTCGATCTTAACGTTCCGGCGATTTTTTCGCGATGCCAATTTGGTGCCCGTGGGAAAGTGCGCGCTTTGAAGAACGTGATGTTTCGTCCATACATCTTCAAGATTTATTCCGAGAAAATGCTTTAGACCGCGAAATACTGTCGAGTGATAAGTGCATCATTATGTGAACATGAACGCGTACTAAAAAAATATTCAGAGTTAATAAATTGGAGAAATTTTGTATTTTAAATAAATTAAAAATACACAATTCTCATCGCGTAAAAATTTAAGTTTGTCGTTTCGACATTCATATTTGACTCTTTAGTACTATTTTTTTTTTATATTACTTTCTTCATAATATTTATAATGCATCATCGTGTGTCATATCCTCATTCGCGTTACTGCGTATTTCTTCATAGAAAAAAATCACCTTTTCCTTTTAAGATGACGCCATGGCTGATGGCATTCTTCTGTCTGGCAACCGCCGGCTGCTCGAACGTCACGGACCAGCAAACATCGGAAACGCATCATGATCATCAAGTGGCGATCTTGAAGCAGATCAGAAAGGTGAACGAAGACGGTTCTTATACATATGGTTACGAAGCCGGCGATGGATCATTCAAGGTAATTATGCGTAAACGCGGCGTAATGTAGACCGCACCTATCGTACTTTTTTTAAAACCATAAATTGCACCGCACTAAGTTCCCACAGTATCAGATATTAATTAGCTAAAACAATGTTTTCCACTTCTGATGTCATTTAAAAATAGTAATGCACAAGCAATGCAATATTAATTAGCGTGATATCAACAATAAGATAAATAGTTATAGAAGAATCTAATTGTCTCTCACAATTATAAATTTATGCATTCATCTTATATAATCTTATACTTTCATTTATAATTACAAAATGCTTAATTATTATTTGTAAAGCTACTTAAATTAATTGAATATAAATATTGTAATTGCTTCAAAATTTAAATCATTAGTAAAACTTTTTAAGAGTACTATTCGAACTTAATTATATTACTTCAATAAATAAGTTTAGTAATATATTATATATATATATATATATATATATATATATATATATATATATATATATATATATATATAT